GAACGACATTAGCCAGCCTAATGGCGGGCCATTCCGACGGCGCATTGGCCCGCGCCCTCTCGCTCCTGACTCCGGCCGTTTAACGCGCCGTTAACCTGAGCGCCGGGGCCCGCCGCCACTCTGGCCGGTAACATCTGTGTCATCGGCCATTGTGCGCGACCGAAGTGCATCTGTCCTCCTGGGCGGCCCATGGGAGAGAAGGAAGGGAGGGGGGGCGTTCCTCTTCGTCCCAAAATCGGGACTCGCGACTTCCTCCTGCGGGATCGAATCCGAGGGGGGAGGGGGGGTCCGGGTCGTCGCGAGGTGGCGACTCGACGGCGCGCCGTTAAAACGGTTAAAACGTGACGGGGCACCCGGGCGGAAGGAGCGGGTCAGGGGGCGGCTCGGGAAAAAATACGAGAGAGGGGAGGGAAAACACAAAGCCGAGCAACTAATGGCACTCGGGACTGGCGGCGCTCTCGAGAGCTCGCCAAGTCTTTATTAATTTCGATAATGGAGTCCTTGCACTTAGCTAAACGGCCGATGCAACCCCGAGGGCCGCGCATTGTAGCCGCGTCGCGCACCGCGACAATGGCGCTCGGTCGCATTGTCTCGCGGGCCGCGGTCGCGTCCAGGTCGAGGCGGGACGCCCATTGGTCGGCCCGGTAGAAGCGGCGCGCGCCGATTGGACGGCCGGCGGCGCCCCGAGGGCCGCCGCGTGACTCGCGGCGCGCGGGCCTCGCGGGCCCACTCGTGCGCCGGCCGCCGCCGGGGGCAGAGTGTGGGGAGCGCGAGCGCGAGCGCGCGCAACTTCCGACGCGGCCCTCTCGACCAGGGGGTCGACGCTGCCATGTATTGGGGTGTAACGCTTTATGCACTACCGCCATCTTCGGTTGGAGAAAACCTTCTTCGCGAACTAAAATCTTTGGCGGGCTGTTCTAATTCATTTATTAAACGAAGGGATATTTTCGGGATTTAATAAGTATCTGCAATGATCAAAACAGACGTTGCTTAGACTGACACACAAATGTAAGAAAACGGTATATTAAACGTAAAAGAAGTAACAAAAGTGTCAGTGGCGCAACGCCTGTTTTAAATCACTGTAAGAATTGAAATAGTTACATTAAACATTCGTTAAAAAGTAACATATTTATTAAGATAAAAATATTAATTATTATGAATGTATAAATATACAAATTCTATACAAATTTAATTTTTGTCATGATTACTTTCATGGATTAAATGCGATCTATAGATCGCATTTAATCCATTTAATTATTACGATTATTATAGTAAGAGACTACAAACTGTTCTCGATTTACACTTTTACTCGCAAACTCACGTTCGCGATTTAATACCCGAGGCAATCGAAACTTGTAAAAATATTGCCACTAATCGAGGTTAGGTTCACTTTGGTTCACTTGTCCCGACTATTTTTATGCGCATCTACGCTGCGCCTCCTGGAGTCTCTTGCCATTGGTTAGACAATTTTTTCTCTGTTCTTCTCTTTCTATCAGACTGAAAAGTCACGACACCAGCGCAGTCTTTGCTCGGAGTAGGTGAACTAACTTCAGTGTTACACCTCTCCCATAAGGAGTGTCGACCTCCTGGGCCCACTCGTGCGCCGGCCGCCGCCGGGGGCACAATGCGGCGAGCGCTCGCGCTCGCGCGCGCACCTTCCGCCGCGGCCCTCTCGACTCTTCCGACCCCGTGGGCCGTCGAGGGTCCGCGAGGCTACAATTGGGCGATTGTTGCCGCCGCCAACTGCTCCTTTCGGGTCGAGCGGCCCTCCAGGAAGGGAACAGTTTAGCCGACAATGCCGGCCGCTCGGTTGATTAGCGACCGCCGCTCGACCTCCACGCGCCGGCCCCGCTTCGAGAACGGTATCGCCTCTCGTCTCTCGAGATCCTTTCGCGTCCCCTCCTCGCTAACCCACCCGAGTGGAACGTTTAACGTTTCGCGTACTCCGCCGAGGTCGAGATCTCCCGTCCAATCGGCGAAAGAGTTGCGCTCCTCGCAGCTGACGCCCGCCACTCGAGAGGCGGACCCGCGTCGAAATGGCCTCTACCTTCCCCTTGGACCGAAGATCCCCGGGTCAGGGCCAAGAGGAGCAATATCGAGAAAGGGAAAAAAATCCAGCAGCCTCCCGGCTTCCCTTATCACCTCGCATCGACTCTTATCAGGAGGGATTTAATTGCTGCTCGAGACCCCGCGTGACGTCGCGACCTAACCTCAACCCGCCCACCTCCCCTCCCTTGGTCCTCGTTTAACGACTGTGGAGAGCGGGAGGGAGGGCGGGAACTTCCTCGGGGAAGTTCAGTTCCAACCTCGTAATCCGCGAGAAGTTTACTGCCTTCGCGGTGGCTGGTTGCCAGTTCGAGGGGACAGCCCGTCTCTCTCCCTCTGCCCCTCTCCCTTTCTCCTTCCCTCTCTCTCTCTCTCTCTCTGCCTCTCGGGCTTATCTTAACTGTTTATAACGAACGCGAGGACGTATTACGCCTCCCCTCGCCCGTCATCCCGGATGCGTACCGAGATTAGTAAATAGATACGCGGTCATGTGCGCGTACTCGACATGCACCCCATACACGAGTACCCGTCCACGTAAACACGCATCCAGGTAACCCATAATACCTTCCCAGGATAATTCCCCTTTGAAATGACATCCGTCCCGCAGCTCGCCGTCCACATAACTCGATGTTGCCCCTCCGGCGGTCGGCCGCGGAATGACGGTCGCGCTGCCGATGACGGACCGCGGCGGCCCAAAATGGCGTAGTCCGCCGGCGAAGTGGGGGTCGGGAGGGGGCGCCGTCTTCGACCCCCCCCCCCTCTGGGGGGAGGAAAGTGAAACTCCTCGACGTAGTTAGGGGGGGAGGCAACGACGACGAGGCGGGGTTGCCGTATACCTATCGGGTTGCTAGGGCGATAGGGAACCCAAGGGGGTTGTTATCAGGTTTCCATTAGCGCAGTGGGACGAAGAGGGCCCTACCGACTAGGCGGCGTAAAAGAGAGAGGGTCTCTCTCGTCCGGTGCCGGGGCGGCCGTCGCCGGCGTCGGGACGCCTGGCGTCTTATCGCTACTCCCCCTCCCTCCCTCCCCCCTTGCACCCCGAACCTCCGGCTTTCTAGTCGAGCCAAAACCCACTGACGCCTCGACGCGCTCACCCAGAAACCGACGATAAGGTTCGCCGAGCGACGCCTGACTACCGCCCCCTGGATCCTCCCCCTCTGTCCATTTATATGTATATGTATATATATATACATTATATATATGTACATATATGAATGTATATATAAAATATATATATATACATTTTATATATATATATATATTTCCCTCCCACGCCTATCGGTATGGTCACACGTGCGCGCCTACGTCACGCACGCGGAACTCCCCCCGGGGGTGGGGAGAGGGGGGCGACACCTTCCGCCAAACACCCTCGGAGTGGAACTCGAATATTAATTCGACGCTTAGGCGAATTAACCCTGGATAACTGTAATCTCCGGAGATGACGTTACGATTAAATTGTCTCGTTTGGCGTTTCAACATCTTCTAGTAAATGATGACGATAGGGATAATGTATGACGCAGGAATTATATAATAATTGTAAATGAATAAATTGCAAATCTATACGCTCAGGCGAATTAACCCTGGATAACTGTAATCTCCGGAGATGACGTTACAATTAAATTGTCTCGTTTGGCGTTTCAACATCTTCTAGTAAATGATGACGATAGGGATAATGTATGACGCAGGAATATATAATAATTGTAAATGAATAAATTGCAAATCTATACGCTCAGGCGAATTAACCCTGGATAACTGTACTCTCCGGAGATGACGTTACGATTAAATTGACTCGTTCGGCATTTCAACATCTTCTAGTAAATGATGACGATNGGCGTTTCAACATCTTCTAGTAAATGATGACGATAGGGATAATGTATGACGCAGGAATATATAATAATTGTAAATGAATAAATTGCAAATCTATACGCTCAGGCGAATTAACCCTGGATAACTGTACTCTCCGGAGATGACGTTACGATTAAATTGACTCGTTCGGCATTTCAACATCTTCTAGTAAATGATGACGATAGGGATAATGTATGACGCAGGAATATATAATAATTGTGAATGAATAAATTGCAAATCAATTAGTAATTTGTAATGAATAATGATTGTACTATGTTTCGGAGATTACGTAGAATATTAAAACGCTAAATCGTCCTGTACACGAAGAAAATGGATTAATCGTTATTTCTGTTTATGTTGCGTTGAGATCTTCGGACAAGCTTCGTATTTTTCTGTTTGTTGGTCTTTTCAATTTTCAAATTTGTTGCCGAATTCGCGGGCTATAGTTTTATAACGTCTTGCCCTCGCTTGGGATCGAGGGTGGACAGTGTAGAGAAAGTGTACACTTTTCGTAAGAGTGGAGAAAGTGGAGACGAAAAGAACAAATCTATGTACTCGCAAAATGAACAGCGAGCGACACTGCGTCACTTCCGTCAAAACGAATGACAAAATGTACACTTTTTGTAAGAGTGTAGAAAGTATAGGCAAAACGAACAAACCTATGCATTCGCAAAACGAACGGCGACATCTGCGTCACTTCCGTCAAAACGAATGGCAAAATGTACACTTTTCGTAAAAGTGTAGAAAGCGTAGGCAAAATGACAACGACGTCTGCGTCACTTCCGTCAAAACGAACGCCAAAATGTACAATTTTCGTAAAAGTGTAGGCAAAATGAACAAACCTATGCACTCGCAAAACGAACAGCGACGTCTGCGTCACTTCCGTCAAAACAAAAGCCAAAATGCACACATTTCGTAAACGTGTAGAAAGTGTAGGCAAAATGAACAGCGACATCTGCGTCACTTCCGTCAAAACGAAAGGCAAAATGTACACTTTTCGTAAAAGTGTAAAAAGTGTAGGCAAAACGAACAGCGATATCTGCGTCGCTTCTGTCAAAACGAATACCAAAATGTACACTTTTCGTAAACGTGTACAAAGTGTAGGCAAAATGAAGAAACCTATGCCCTTGCAAAACGAACAGCGACATCTGCGTCGCTTCCGTCAAAACAAACACGAATGTGTACACTTTTCACAAAAGTGTAGAAAGTATAAAAAGTGTAAGCAAATCGAACAAACCTATGCCCTCGCAAAACGAACAGCGATACCTGCGTCACATCCGTCAAAACGAAAGCCAAAATGTACACATTTCGTAAACGTGTAGAAAATGTAGGCAAAACGAACAATGACGTCTGCGTCACTTCCGTGAAAACGAAAGGCAAAATGTACACTTTTCGTAAAAGTGTAGAGTCACTTCCGTAAAAACGAACGCCACTGTGTACACTTTTCACAAAAGTCTTGAAAGTATAAAAAGTGTAAGCAAAACGAACAACGACGTCTGCGTCACATCCGTCAAAACGAAAGCCAAAATGTACACATTTCGCAAAAGTGTAAAAAGTATACACAAAACGAACAAACCTATGCCCTTGCAAAACGAACAGCGCCATCTGCGTCGCCTCCGTCAAAACAAACGCGAATATGTACACTTTTCAAAAAGTGTAGAAAGTATAAAAAAAAGTGTAAGCAGATCGAACAAACCTAATGTCGGCTCCCTCGTTTTAGGTCGGTCCTTCGGCATGTACTTGGCGCGAAACTCAACCGAATCTCTCGACACGTTTCAGTGGCGGAGCTGGAGGGCGGAGCGCACTCGGACGAGACGAACAGCGGAGGCGACAACAGCAACGCGGGCAGCGTCTCCGGGGGCGCCGACGACGACCAAGCCAGGTTGCGACTGAAACGGAAGCTGCAGAGGAACCGCACGAGCTTCAGCAACGAGCAGATCGACGCCCTGGAGAAGGAGTTCGAGCGAACCCACTACCCGGACGTGTTCGCTCGCGAGCGGCTCGCCGGGAAGATAGGCCTACCCGAGGCTCGGATACAGGTGACCAGAGGCCCCTCTCCAGGGGGTCCTTTTCCTCTTCTTCGCCCACCCTTGTGCCGTTCATCAACTCTGGTCTCTAACCTAGGTCTGGTTTTCGAATCGGCGAGCAAAGTGGCGGCGCGAGGAGAAGCTGCGCACCCAGCGGAGGGACAACCCGCAGCAACAGCAACAGCAACAGCAGCAGCAGGCTCAGCCCCCACCGCACGGGGCCCCCGTGGGCCTGGTCGGGGGGCACCCCACGCCTCCACCCTCCGCCGGCATCCTGGGGGGCCAACCACCCCCGCAGGCGCCACCCTCGCCCCCCAGGATACACCATGGCTTCGCGCCCACCGGGGTCTACCCTGGGATTCCCAGCATGCCGGACTCCTACAGGTGCGACGACGCATTTTGCTCCTCCTCGGACACCTACGTATAAACATCTAAATGTATAAATGTTCAGACATTTAAGGTGATATGAAAGGGTCACTCTATGTATATAATACCTTAAAATATTTATGAAACTTTACTACTA